TGAAAAAGCAATGCCTTTCCTGGGTTCTGTGATGTTATAACTAATAATTACGGGAATCTTTAACTCAGGAATCCTCTTTTAGCTGTCTAATTGAGTTAATATCATCCTCAACAGTTGCTAGCAGGAAAACCAGCATCGTCATTTAAAATGATATCACAATAGGCTCTTCCTTTGACTATTCACCTCTTCCTGTCAATGATTCTTCCATTGGACATTTTTTTAAGCCTGTCAGATTTGCTAGGGCTGAATATGCTCCTAACCACATTGACCAAAACTTCATTTAGCTTTCTGTGATCCGTTGGACAGAAGAGTATTTGGCTATACTTTTTGATTATCAAACTTGGAGATAATAGGTTTTGTTGCAAAGACAGTCTTTGTACTTGAAAATTAGGTATGAATCATCAAGGACTGTTTTTGAGAAGAGCAAAGAGAATGAAATCCAGCACAAAGGAGGAAATACGGGATCAAATCAGGATCTGGCTCTGAATTTCTCCATGAGAGCAGGTGAAGCAGCAAAGGGTGCTAACTACCCCAGGAAGAGTTTCTAGCCATGATAATGCAGGCTTGTGAGCCCTAAACAAAATCCAAAGAGGTGGTTGGTTTTGTGATTTTACTTGTTTTCAGCATCTCCCCATAGAAGAGGGACCAATTCAGTGGGAAATCAGTTTTGGGAAATGTTTGAAGTTAGGAAGGGATAGACCATCACCAGTTAGCATGTCCACAGCTAATGGGAGGCAGATATTAGGTAAAGACATTTGGATGAAGGGAAGTTAAGTTTTCAACAGGATAACTCAAACAGAGAAAGACAGGGGGGAAAACACAGCAAAGAGAAAGGGGAGCGCCAAGGAATTATTTGCATCAGAATTTGCCCCTTTGTCCATGAACTTCTTGTCTTAGAAAGATCAAGCAGGTGTCAGAATCAATGGCAAACTTGGTAGATCTTCCTGGTTCAATGGCCTTTTAGTTTGAAAGGCGAATGTCACTAAAGATTTCGTGAGTGTTGAAGTCGACCAAAGCAGGTGTCACATTTTCTTTTCCTTGTCAGTATTCAGGCTAGAAGTGGGGCATAGAATATCCATGAGAAAATTGTTTTCCAATGTGGATTTGGGAAGCAAGGTATTACTGACACCAGTGGTTTAGTAAAAGATGTGTTTTGTTCTTGTTACTGGTGATTTAGTTTGGTTAATCATTTTGTTCATATTTAAGACTCAAAAAAAAAAAAACAACTCAGAAGCTGTAATCTTACAGAAGAGAGAATGGTCGTTGTGAAGCACAGGCATACAGTTAGACCAACTTCGAGCTGTGTGGCCAGTGATGAGATTATTTGTGGTTAAGCATTGGAATGAATTTCACAGACTCCAAATGAGACAAATCTGGCCTGTATTTTCTATAGATAGGACCAATCAAAGTGTTGTGTGAGAACATTTGGTTTGGATACTATGGCTCAGTGTGAAGACCTGGAGAGAAGGTTGAACACATCTGACAATTGCAGAAATCCTTCTTAACATAAATCTCTAATTTTGTAAAAGACTAGAAAAATAGCAATGCAAAGGGAGAACAATGTGCGTCTGCAAGATGCATGGATAACTTGGAAGTAGTACATAAAGAGAAGTGCTTATTCTGGCTCTTACTGTACAAAGCATCCTTCCTTCTTACTCCAGCCATGCCATATAATGATTTTCTTCAACTTGCAACTACACTGTCTCCATGAAGATACTCATAAAACATTGCAGTAATAGATAAATGCATAGAAACAAGAAAGGCTATACTTTTGATTCAAAACATTTATTTTTGTTACCTGGAGCAAACCAGAAGCATTTCCTCTCTCTATCTTATACCTAATTTGGGGGCTGAAGTTTAATCTCTCTCCTTTTTCTGCCTGTCTCTGTCCTTTGGGTTATTCAAACTCCAGATCAAGTGCTAGTTTATCTGAAAAGCTTCCTCAGATCACATCTTGTACTATTTGTTCCTTTATCACTGACTGTCTGCACATCTTATGCTTGCCTCAATTAAGTATTTCCTGAGTATGGGTTCCTCTCTTTAGTGCGATGTTCTGCTTCTTAGAAATAGACACTATGGTGAACTCTTTTTTAATCCTTTATTCCTTCTTCCATTGATAGACTGGGAACATAAATGGCTTACTGACCCCAGGAATTCCTCTGATTACTGACTGTTGTAATCCCCTTTGCAAAGTCTCAGATAGCTGATGGATAGATATTGAAGACTTGAGGGCCAAGAAGATACCATATGTACATCAAGACATGAAATGAGGAAAAAGAGATACAGTGGTGGTTTCAAAGAGAAATAAGCCAATTTCACAAAGACAAGTATTGTACCCTGTTTGGTGGCACATGTTTGTAATCCCAGAACTCAGGAGGCTGAGGCAGAAGAATCAGAAGTTTAAGGTTAGCCTTGCCAGCATGACAAGATGCTGCCTTATTGGGCTGACGAGGGAGGGGGACTTGATTGGGGAAGAGGGAGGAAATTGGAGGCGGAGGCGGGGAAGAGACAGAAATCTTTAATAAATAAATAAATAAATAACAAAAAACCAACAAAACAAAAAGACAAATATTTTATTTATAAATTAGACATAAAAGTGATAAAAGCAAAAAGGGGATTGTGTGGAAAAAAGAAGGAAGACAAGTGGGCCCCATGGAGAACAATAATGGATATTAGACAATAGCTGATAAAAATGATTTATACACACGTATATCATTTTCTTACTGAACCCCAAGATTTAAACAATTAATACAGGGCAATAAAAATGTATCCAAGTTTTAAAATGTGTGATAATGTCACTGTGATACAACAAACATAATGTCTGTCTTTGCAGAATTCACTACTAGCAGTGTTGTGTGGATCTTACATTTGTATGAGAAGAGAGTCTTCCCAAAACTTTTTTGAGTGCTCCAGAACCTCTGGCTCAAAGAGCATGACAACTAGGTTTTAAAGAAATGAGTATTTAAAAAAGGGTGAGTATGGAATGAACATTAGACCTAGAAGGAAGTGGGGGGGGTGAATAGAATCAAAATATAATATGAAATTCTCAAAGAATTAACTGTATGCAAAATAATAATAGGCATTATCTTATATATAATATTATACTAACTATGTAGGAAGGGGCTGGAAGGAGCTGGTAGATCAGCAGTCTTGATCCTGCCTTAGCATGTCTGGGTCTCCATATCAGAACCCTGATATTTACTCTTTTGCATTTTAGTTAGATTTTAGAAGTTTCATCTTAACCCATCATCTTCATAATATCTTAAGCTCCTTGGGGTCCTGAAAGTCAGGTTAGCATTGAGTTGATGTGTCTTAACAAACTTCTCATAAAACTACTGCAAAGAGATCGGTCTAAAGTCCCTGACTTAGTGCCTTCTCTAGGATGGGTCCCTGTGACAGAATTACGATTTACTAATTCCTTCAAATGTGTTTATGTACGTGTCTCATCTTCATGAGTCACCAAACAAAACACAAACTGTTTTTCTCTGATCTGCTACTCAGTATTAGCCCATCCTCCACCATCTCCCCAACAGCCACAATAACCCAGGAATATTGCAACACCCTCAGATCTGCCTCCAACCTTTCTTACTTTCTTAATGTATAATCAGCAAGATGTGTTCAGTGCAAACACCCAGAAGTTTGCTTATCTGCATCGTGGCTCCTTTGTGATCTTTGATGGACAATGATGATGGTGATAGTTCTAAATTGATTCCTGCTTATTTCTTAATCAGTAATTATTGGCATTTTTGAGATCAGGTGTCTTCTTTTTTAATTCCTCCGGGAGAATAGATATGTTGTCTCTGGGCTGTAAAGGGTGGCTAGGAAGTCAGGAGTCTGGCTGTAACAAACACCAGGATTTCTTAAACGGAGTGCTCCTTACTGCACAGCAAAAGTATCTGAATGCCTGTTCTCATTTTTAATTTTGGTGCTTAAAGTATTTCCCCCCTGACCTTCTATAACCGATCTATTGCAGTTTTTCTACTCATCAATTGCTGAGAGAGGGATGGCAGATGATAGGTAAATGGCACGCTCGAAAAGACCAGAATCTCCTCCATCCTTTTAAGGAGGTAACTTCGTTGTTCTGGTTGTGACTTTAACACCTCTGGAATAGAGATGTCGCTAAAAATTTCCAAGTTAAAGGCTGGTCTGGGGTCACCAGTCCTAGAGTGTTTTCCACTGCCACCCTCAATAAGGAGGCTACAGCTCCCTCTCCCTGCCGGTTAGATTTTAGCATCATTGATATGCAGAAGCTTCCCAAATCCTAAATCTTCCTAAGGGACGAAACCGAACCGTTTAGAAAGCTGACTAATCTGACAGTCTAGCTTCCGAAAGAGTCACTTTCTAGGGGGCAGATGATAGTACTCTGTTTCCAGAGGCCAGGGGCACAGTTCCCTTGTCAGTGGCATGCAGTTTTGTGGCTAGACATAGCAGAACATCGTGTTGAGCCCACTCCCAGGTGACTCTTTCTTGCTTCTCATAAGTTAAACTTCCCTCCTGACTCGCCAGTTGCACCCTGCCTCTTTCATTCTCTCTGTGAAAGCCCCACATCTGGGCAAATCTTTCATATCGACCACTCTCCCCAGGCATCTGACTGGCATGCTGGTCCAGATGCGACTGCAGTCTCCACAGCCTCCGTTCAGTACCTGTGTCACAGCCAGCCGGTGCCTAGAGCGATGATGCAGAAAAAGAAACAGAAAGCAAGGAAAAGTCAGGAGATGCTGGATTCAAATTATAGGCAGGGCGATGTTAAAAAGAAGAACCCATTAACAATAAATCCAGGTTCCTAACTGCAGGATTAGAAAAGGGAGAGCTAAGAGCAGCGAAAGGAGGGGCTTGAAACAGGAGCGACAAAGACTTTGTCAGCCTCTCAGACTCCCCAGCCCAGAAGGACAGGGCGGGGGTTGAGTCGCGGCTCCCCATTGGCTCCAGCGCGGGCCCCTGGACTTCTATAAAGGGCAGCTGCAGAGCAGTCTCTGCACGGGCTTGGAGCTGGAGTGGCATTGCCTGACTCCGCCCTGCCCACAGCGCCAGCCGGCCTTGGACAGAAAGACTGATGACTGACTGAAGGCAACAGAGATTGGGTAGGAATAATCAATGGCAGCATGGAGGAGGATCTGTGCTTGAGGGAAGCCTGACGCCATCTCCAGTTTGGAGCAGGTGCTGTGGGCACTATCCAGGAAGAGCGGTTTCAGACAGCCTGTCCTGTGTTCAGCTGCCCAGCTCTGCGCACTTGCCCACCCTGAGCAGGTCCAGTCTTTTTTCCTGGTTCCTGGTATTTCTCCCCTCTCCCTGCTCCAGACACCTTGGAGAACACTTTATCAGCTCAGAGCTCCAGGGCACTGAATAGATTGCCTGCCTGTCTGTCCACAGCCTCAACTTGCCCTCTTCCTTCTTTGAGAGGCTCCTGGGCAAATAGCTTAGGGACCTCACGGTCCACTAAAGGCACTGGGATGGAGAAAAAGCCAACCACAGAAATGCCCCAGGAGGCTTTCCCTGCCACCACGAGCATCTTCGGGGAAGAGCTGACTCCAGAAGCCCTGAGTGTACCTTTTGGTTTTGATGACTTGATCACATCCACTACTTCCCAGGTACTTCAGGCTGTGTCCAATGTTGCATCTGCGTTTGGGCATGGACAGTCCAAGATGCCAGAACACATGACAGGAGACCTGGCCGACACGTCAGGTCCCCTAGATGTGGAAATTGTGTCCGAGGATAATCGATTGGAGTTCTGGTTAGTGGTAGGGTACACCATAGTGGTCTTTGCCTCCATCATAGGCAACTGGGTCTTCAACTATATAATTTTGAAGTACAACAGTGTCCATACTGCCTCCGGCCTCCTCGCTGTCAACATTTCTGTGACCAACATGATGCTTGCTCTTCTCAGCTCTCCCTTCACCATGGTAAGCTGGGGTACTGAGGAGGGTAACCGGGGGAGTGGGGTAAGAACTGAAGTCAAACTTAGTGCTTGCAACAGTCGGTGCTGTGTGGTCAGAGGAAGGGCTGGCTTGGTTTGGAAAACATTTTTAGAGGAAATAGAACAGAAACTGAGAAACATTGAAAAGGGCTTGGAAATGTGTTAGGTTAGTTGTTGTGTCGCCGAATTAATCCCTTGCTGTGGTAGAGGCTGAGAGAGTATTGGGCTGCCCAGGGAGGCAGTGGAACCTGTTGCTAGTGAGTTTTGGACTAATGTATGAATCCAAATTTTGTCATAAAGATTAACCCTGCTTCTCCACCTTTCAAATGTTGTGCATGAACTTGAATGTAGTTAACAGGTTTTGTGATTTAGTGTCCCTCCATGTCTTCAAGCCGGAATGTTGTGTGGGAGAAAATGAGATGAGCATGAGAACTGGAGTGTAAAAATATTCCTTTGTTTATTGGGAGAACGACAGTAGCATTTTGGTGATAAAGGAGACTTTTATTTGCGTCTTGGGGCTTTGGAGAGGGATGGACACAGGGCTGAGTTCCTATGCGTCATCAAACCATTTTTCCTACAGGTGCGCTATATGTGTTATGCTCTCGTGTTTGGAAAGATGACCTGCCACCTCAGTCGCTTTGCCCAATATTCATGTGCCTATGTGACTGTGCTGAGTATGGTAGCTATTTCCCTGGATCGGCATCGGGTATGTGCCTCCCAGATATCTTGCCTAAGATATCCTCCTAGATGAATGGAGAAAAGTGAGGTCACAAGAAATCTACAAAGTTTTCCAAGTTCTTAAGTTCATATATGCAGATGTTTATGTGTAATATGTTTATGTGTAGTAATGTTTATGGTGATATTGAAAGATGTAAAATATAAAACTTCACCAAATTAATCCTAAAAAAAATGCTACCATCTTTTCTGTGGTGCTATGGGAATAGAGATGTGGCAATAAACACATGATACATGTTCTTTTGGGAAATCTTTCCTGTTTGCTGCATTGCAGGACTGGGCTAAAGGAAGCAAGAGGGCATGGATAAGTGAATGTAGATGTAGTAGTATTAGACCTGTCTGAGAGTTTAGTAAGGAAGGTGGGAATGAAGTCTGAGAGGAAGGATTGGGGGGGGGAGGGGCTGATGAATAGAGATGAGTAAAGAGGTAGGAGAAAGATTGAAGTCAATTAAAAGGAAGAGAGGCAAGGGAGAAGAAGCTGTGGTCATCGCATAGTTAATCATTAAGGAGGGAGACAGAAAATGAGTGGTGGAGAAAGACCAAAGGAATGAATGGTATGTGATTAGATCCAGTTAAAAAGCTATCTGGAAAAAAAGGTGAGAGATAGTCAGGAACATAGAGCAAAGGAGAGAGGATTGGGAAAAAAGTGACTATGAAGGAATCAAGATGGGAGGGGATGAGAGGGGATGGGAGGGCATGAGAAAAGCCATGGAGTAAGCCAGGTAGAAGGGTAGATGAAGGAATATGTAGGATACTGTCATACCCGTTAGAAGGTAAAGAAAAAAATAAGTCACACTACTGGACATCTGTTTCCTTTCTCCACAGAACTGCAGACAGAGAAAGAGGAGTTTTGAAGTCAGTTCACTTGAATTCCTGATTTCTTGAAACATAGTAGTGCTGTAATTTCATGAGCAAAATGCCACATACATGTCAAATGAACTAGTACATAAAGCAATTACCACCTACATACTAAGTCTTTGTACCCTTTTATCGGAAGAGCAGTTTATTGATGTCTAACTTTAATTTGAGTTGTTAAGCTGGATGGGGTCCTTTTTCCCCCAGGTGATGCTACATCCTTTGAAGGCCCAGATCACTCCCATGCAAGCCAATATTTGCATCATTGTCATCTGGATTGTGAGCACCTGTGCTGCACTGCCACATGCTGTTTACCAGAAGCTTCACCAGGTGGAATTTGGGTAAGAGGAACATGGGATAAGAGGAATGCTGTTATACTAGCAGCCCAAGACCCTGGAAGCCATAAGGAATGATTTAGCAAATAGGAGCTAGAATAACACATTTCAAAACATAGGTGGAAAAATAAAATTCTTCTAAACTGTTATTTGTCATTATTTCCCAAAAACTCTCAACACAGTGGGCTATAATTTCCATCTTTGGGGCCATGGCTTTCCTATAGGTACATGAGAAGCCTGGGTCAGTTGAATCCTAGCTCTCCTGGTTTTATGCTCAATGCAGACACAACACAAACAGTAAATACATCTCAACCTTAAGACCTAATTGCCTTAAGGAAAAGACTAAATCATTGGTTTTGTTTTCTCTCTCTCATAACCTAGAAACACAACTGAGGAAAGTGCCTGCCTCCCCAGTTTCCCATATACTTCAAAATCCACATGGGTGTACCTTGACCTAGGCACCTTTCTGGTCTTCTTTATGTTGCCTTTGCTGGTCTTGGCGGGTGTCTATGGTCATGCGGCCAAGAAGCTGTGGATCCATGATCCTGTTGATGACATCAATATCCGCACTTACATCTGTCAGCGTGGGAAGAAGAAGCAGACCCTAAAGATGCTGATGTTGGTGGTGTTTCTCTATGCGATCAGTTGGCTCCCCCTCAATGTGTACCTGGTGCTGCTAGCCAGTGAAGCCATCTCAAGCCACAATGGTCTCTATTTTTTCCTCCACTTGCTAGCAATTAGCAGCTCCTGCTACAACCCCTACATCTATTGCTGGCTCAGTGATAGCTTCCGTATTGAAGTGCGAAAGGTCATCATGGAAATCCAGAAGAAGCTGCTAGATAAAATCAGGCGCCTTAGGGGAGAGCATCGCCGACTGCGCTCTGCATCTCGTGCCCATCCCCTTGATTCTGAAGATTCCAATCCAGGAGTGCCCATATTCCCACGATTCAAAGATTTTGATGAGCTGCCCAGTCCCCCTCCTTCCCCAGCAGTGCACATCTCCTTTATCCACACAGTGCCTCAACTTTAAGCTGCCCAGACCGCGACTGACTATCAAAATATCTGAGGTATGATAGGATCAAAATAATTAGAATTTATTATTGCTTTTGAGTATCACCCATATATTGTCACTTGTGTACAGATAGTGCAGGCCTCGGGAGATCTGTGAGCTCCTATATATTATTATTTATATTTTATTTAGATGCACACAAGATGGATTTCATTGCTATGTTTCCATGGAAATGCTAGGAGACTAAGGTATCATTTCTGAAATTTCACAGGATGCTCTGGGAACTTGAAGCACCTTATAAGTGCAAGCTCTTGGTCGTCTCTTCTCTTCTGTGGTAGTGAGGATAGAAAATGTTACAGATGCCCAGGAACAGATGAGGCAGGAAATAACTCTGATTACACCCCATGTAATCAGAGTAATTTCCTCAGGTTGCTGTACAACAATTTGGTGACAGCTTCTCTCTGAATGCAGAAAAATTGAAGTGCCCAAGTTCACACTTCAAAATCCCAAACCTCCTCCGTGCTTCTGACTATACATTTAGTTTCATACTTTGTTTCATGTAAATTTGTACTCTCTACTTTTGTCTTTCTTTTTCTGGAAAAAGAGAAAATATAATGTGCTTACTGTTGTTTTAATTATCCCCATCTCTTTAGCTTATGGACAATTTCAACTCAGCAGAAGAGAGGAGAAAGAAGAAGTGATACCTCATCCTGTCACTGCCATTCTTCTGGAGACAATGTTATTAAGGTCCTCTGGACAGCATTCATGGATGCAAGTGTCAAGATGATACCAGGATGAGAATCGGACTTGTGATCCTCCTCATTTTCCTCTCTTCTTCTTTGCCTCCTCCTCAGTATTCTCGTTCTCCCTCTAGCCTCTCCCCATCTCCTTCCTAGCCTTTGTCCGTTTCCTCCCCCTTGCTTCTGTTCCACCTTCTACTCATTCTTTTCCTCTTTCACTTCATCCTCTTCTTCCATTTCTTTCTCCACTACTATCTTTCTTCCTGTTTTAAAAATCTCCTTAACAATGAATGACAAGTTATCTGTCTGAGATATCTCCTGGTTGGTAAGGTATCTACAAGTTTTTAGGATCAAAAAATGAGGTAATGATTCAGTTTCCAACTATTCAGTTTTCACATAGTGAAAAGATGTGGTGGTTTTGGGGGTTCAGAACTTCAAAGTAAATTACCATACTTGCCATAGTGTAGTGTCCCTTTTAAGATCAAACATAAATTGGGAAAAAGACCTAATTGAAGTTTAAACTCAGTTTCATTCCATTGTCCTTTTCTTCTTCCTTTTTATCCTTTGAATTTAATCCATTGATCCTGACCTATCATTAATACCCCAATTGTAAAAACAATGAACTTGTATTACTGAAGTACAGGTATACATATTTGGAGTACCTTTAGGGTGAAACATGACCTTATCTTCTATTGTGACCAATATAAACTGCCAACCTACCTGTGATCTTTAGGCTTCAGCTGTTTTGGTGATTAGTAGTCTTTGTGAGTAGTGAGCTCGCTTGTGTATTTTCCAACATGCTATGTAAATAATTCTGATCATCTTAAGGACAGATATGTGTATTTCCTTTTCATTCGTATTTGATAGAATAGATGTTTCCTAAGACTGACTGCAAGCAAAGTCGAATTTTGCTTGAGTACTGCATGAGTCTTAGAAGGATTTTACCTGGCTCTGGTAGCCACCTTCTTCTCCTATTCAGACTTAGGAGAATTTTGGGTAAAAGGGCTATTCTTGTAATTAAAATGAACCTTGTGCTTTGTGCTTTAACTTAATGTTCTATCCTTCCCCATCTCTGTCTCTATTCTGTACGTAGAATCACACATTCTTTCACTTCCCAGTAAGGCTTGGACATTGGAATGCTCCAGGTAATCCAGCTTCAAGGTTTGTTGCCGACTTGGCTGGAAACTCGACAGACTCAGAACTTTAAACAACAGCTTTGGTGGTGTATGGATGTTTGAAGAATTGGGCAGACGAATAGTTTCAACTTCACGCGGGCCTTTGTTTAGATGTTTTTCCACAGCACAGAATCTGAATTCGGTACCCAGCCAAGTCTGAGGGTGCTACAGTTGTAAGAAGTTTCTGGCTGAAGGGCTTATTTGGTGGGAACATCGTTCTAAAGAGCTCTAGATTTTAAGCTCTAACCCATGTGCAGCCATTTAGCTCTGTGGGTTCGGGCATGGTGCTAAAGAACTGTGGTCACAGGTTTCTAAACCCCATGTGTGTCTTTTTCCATAGACTGCATCACTCACCCTAGCCAATCTTTTTTGTACAAAGGTTATTTAGAAGCTACCAAGAAGGTAGCAGCAAAACTGATGTGTAAATATTTCAAAACCTGTTTTCTCGTCTGGAGACAACAGTTGCTATCCTTTACTGGCTGGGTGTTAGCTGTGTCACATTACTCAAAAGACATCACTTTCCATATGTACAAATCAACAAAGAGAGTGTACCAGAAGTGGCAGACAAGAAAAACTGCTAGATTCCCTCCTTTGACAAATTCAAAGGTAGGCATTACATGTTTTAAATGCCAAGAAACTGTATCTTGGTACAAATTAGGATACTTGCAGACATGCTTCGATGAGCGTAAGCTCTGCATGTAGCCTGTTTGATATTCAACCTTAACAGGACAGTTTGGAGCGGGGGAATTCCTCTATTGGCACAGATATCTGGGATGCTGGTAATCATGTTTTGGTCACTGTATATGTGACATGCACATTCTTTCTCATGTGTTTTGATCTGACAGTCCCTTTCACTATAAATCCCTGTGTATCTTGTAAGTTATCTTTCCCCAGTGTCACACAAGGTTCTACAAATGTATATACATATATATAGCCGGGCGATGGTGGCGCACGCCTTTAATCCCAGCACTCGGGAGGCAGAGGCAGGCGGATCTCTGTGAGTTCGAGACCAGCCTGGTCTACAGAGCTAGTTTCAGGACAGGCTCCAAAAAGCCACAGAGAAACCCTGTCTTGAAAAAAACAAAAAACAAAAAAAAAACAAAATAACAAAAAAAAAACAAAAAATATACTAATCTAAATATTTAGCTACATACACCAACACAGTATAGTATATTAGGTCACATAAGCTTTCGCAACTTTGTTGCTTCTGAAGACTTTCAACATCTCCAGACGCTGAAGCAAAGATTCACAGATGAAAACACTGATGTCATCTGGTATACATCAGGAAAGAAAGAAAATATACCTGGCATAAACAATATGAGAGTAAAAATGATGTTGTTTATTCTAATACTTCTTATTCACAGACTTCTATGTGTCTATTTCAAACTTACTTCCCTTATATTAGTAATAGTAATAACATGTATGTGATTATGACTTTATATTATAATTCTCAAAATAAGATCTTATGATAGTTATTAATAAGTGTTCATTTTCAAGATTTTACAACGTATTGAAAAATTAAAAATTTCTGGGGTATTCTATAAAGTTTCAACACTTTAGAGGAAGCTCAACACTAAAGGAAAGAAGAGCCTGATCGGGCTGCTCAAGGAGCAATGGAGGAAACGGTGCAGATCAGCCTGGTGAAATTTGCCTGACATAATATAGTCAGGCCCGAGTAAAAGTGTCTGTGCTCAGATTTATGTAAATGGATTTATGTTAATTGGATTGTTGAAATGTAGCATCTGGAATGAATTCCCTGCTCTTTTGTGATGAGACCTCCTGGAAATAAAGTTTACCAGTATATTTTTATAGAAAGACCTTAGAAGGCAACAGGTAGAGAGATACTGTGCCTCATGGCTTTTGATTTAATAGGATCTTGTAAGTAGCAACTCTGACTACTATACTTGTAATTTTAGACTGGGCTGTAAATGCTTTTGTACCTGCAACGTAACTCAAAGGAAAGTCTGTTGTAGAAATACCCCAGAATAAAAATATTTAAATAAAAAAAATAGAATAAAAAAGCATCTTTAAATTTAGAGTCTATATAGTAGTTAGTGAAATTTTATCCATTACCTGCCTGTGCAGTCCTCCTCCCCATAGAATGGAACTGAACTTGCTGATACCCTAATGCTTTCAGCTTTTCAGCTTTCCTCACAAATTCTGTGGAAGTATGGAATATATCCTAGGCACGTGTACATAGGCACATCAAACACTTGCTGCTTGATTCAAACCTACTAGTGATATGGACTGTGTGGAACCGAAGCCTTCTGGGAGAAAGACTGACACTGTCATATTCTACTCAAATGAAAAAGGAATAAAGCTCCCTGAAGCGATATTGATGAATTACCCCTTCACAAAGGGAAAGAAAGAAATCTTACCATTTTACAACAGGAGAATGAACATTATTCCTCCCAATATGCTTGTTACTTGTTTACCTGTAACCATTGCTTTAAATATTATCTACTATTGTTGTTATTTCTCTCTACTCTAATTTAGTGTGTGACTATGTATTCTATATCAAAGAGAGGAGGGGCCAAAGGGAAAGGGGATAGTGTGGTTACAGGGGTATGGAAATTGTAGTAGATTAGTACATATATATTTACATAAATATACTAAATAAAGCTATTCATTCAAAGCACTCCTGATCTCTTCTTGTAGCTCTAATATGAAAAGGGAAAAGGATGGGGGGAGGAAGTTGGGTTGGTGGGTATTTGTGATTCACAGCGGCTCATTAGCTAAAGTCAACATTTAAACCTTTCCATGTAATCAACACATAGGCATTAAAGTATAAGGGGATGGGGTGAGCGTATAACATAAAAGCAAATCCTTTTATGTTTTCTATGGAAAAGTTTTGGGGTGAACAAAGGTTAGAATACTCAACAGAGGGAAGATGCCTTACTTGGTAAAGTTAAATTCGGAATTTGAGAAGTTTATTATTCCACTAAATCTGTGGTTCTGAACATGTGGGTTGCAACCCCTTTAGGGTTAAAATGACCCTTTCATAGGAGTTGCATATCAGATATCCTGTATATAAAATATTTACATTGAGATTCACAAGAGTAGCAAAATTACACTATGGAGTACCAATGAATATAATTTTATGGTTGAGGTTACCCCAACAAGAGGAGCTGTCTTAGAGGGTCACAGCATCAGGAGGGTTGAAAAGGAGGCGTCACTGCAACTCATCACACTAGCCCTTAGAGATGCTCATATAGTCTCCTGTAGGCTTAAATCCTTTAATAGTTAGTAGGCTTATATGAAGGTTTAGCATTTCTCAGATACATTAAAGGAGAACAACTAGAGAATAAACTCATTAGACCCCCAAACCGTAAACACATTTTAACAAATGCCAAGGTCTTAACCTTTTTTTGACTTCTGCCAAATTCTATCCCCACGACTATAAATTCGGTTTATTTTCTTCACATAATGACTTTTTAGATACCTGTTTGTTTTCTAAAGACAGAAAGAATGAAAGAGGGAGGGAGGGAGGGAGGGAGGGAGGGAGGGAGGAAGGAAGGAAGGAAAGAAGGAAGGAAAGAAGGAAGGAAAGAAGGACATGAATTTTTGTGGATGGGGATGTGGAGAGGACCTGGGAGGAGTTGAGAGGGTGGAAATATAATCAGAATATGTAATATAAAAATATGTTTCAGTAAAAATATTTGAGATGATAAGATTTTTAAAAGGTTATGTTTTATTTCAGTCCCTGTGTTTGTGTCTGTGGGTGTGTGCAGGTGAATGTAGTGCCGGGGGAGGGCAGAAGAAGGTGTTGGATAGGTAGCTGCGAGCTGCCTGACATGGGTGCAGGCAAGAAAACTTGAGTCATTTGTAAGTGGAGCCAGTGCTCTTAGCTGCTGAGCCATCTCTCCAGTCTCATGGTAGTTAATTTTAAATGTCTATTTCCTGAAACCCGGAATCACCTGGGAAGACAACCTGAATAAGGAAATATCTAGATGAAGTTGCCCTATGGCAGATTGCCTTGCTTGTTAATAGGGGTGAGAAGAGCCACACTGAATGGGGGCATAACCAGTTTACGGTCTGGGCCTGGAACTGTATAAGAGAGAAGAAAGCTAGCTGAGCATTAGCAGCAAGCAACAGGCAGCTTGACTGTATTTGTTTTTCTCTGCTCTTGACAGTGAATGCGCTGTGTCCTGCTATCTCAAGATTCTGCCTTTATGACCTCCAGCAGCAATGGACTGTAACCTTGAATTTTAAGCCAAATTAACTTTTCCCTACCCCGTGATGCTTTTTGTCAGGATATTTTATCACAGGAACACAAATGAAACTAGAACTGATTAATAACTTCAAAGTCTAAATCTAGTTCCACTTACGTAGCTTTACCAACATTCCCCAATCCCCAAGCCTCTGTCTCTCTGCCTTGTTTTTGTTTGACGATTATTATTTATTTTCAGCCACTATTTGGTAAAATAAACTTATAAAGAAAGTACCATTTATAAAAAATAAAGCTTATAGTTTTAAATGCCTGAATTTTCAAATGGTAGATGCCAGCAAGGATCACACTACAGCTATGGGATGGCAGAGTGGATAGAAATGATTACACTTCAATCAAGGAAGTAGAGAGTGGGAGAGACACCCATTCCTTTAACAAGCAGTCTCTGGCAAGAACTACAGTTAGATCACAGGAGAGCTAATTTAAGTCTTTCTAAAGCCATGATGCCAATAGGACCTTGAAGGCTTCCATTAGGCCCTAACACTTAAGTATGACTTTACCTGGGTCCCACTTTTCAAATACCCTGAATTTTGGGAACTCTTGGGAGTTACCCTAACCAATTTGAAGCTGTCAGCATATTGAATTTTTGTTTATGCCTATACCAATACACCTGCTATTCAAGCCAAACTATTTAATATGTTTAGGATTCTAATAACCCTACTTTCATAGTCTCCTAAAGCAGAGCTTCTTAAACATTTCTCACTCATGAGAACTTTTCACCGGAGCAATTTTTACACAACCTTGACTATATAGGTACACAAAAGAAGCATACAAATCAGATTTTCCTGATGAAAATTATGCATGTGTTTGCATTTGAACTACATTTTTGCTGTTGCACTTTCAGAAACTTCAGTGTTACCAATCCCTCCCCCCAAACCCATCATTTAGCTTGTGGGAATATGTGGGGTCACCACCTAGTTTAGGATATTCTGATTTTGACTCCAGCCAGGAAAGCAAGCAAGCTAATTTCAGATATTCACTTCTTCCTCTGCTCTTCCAAATCCCATGCCCTGTCTTATTGCAGCTCTGCATTTCCTTCCCCCCCTTCCCTATCTCCAGAGGATCACGCAGATCTTCTGCTTCAAACTTCCCATCCCTGACTCCTCACTTTATCCCAGACTCTTACTCCAACAGACAATCCCTGGGAACCCACAGGCTACTCAGGTCAGATAAGCAGGTAGCCTAAATATGGATCTTCACCACTCCTGCCCCTCCACCAAATCCAATCCTCCAGTCTAGCCCCATCTCTATAGCAAACCACCTACTGCAGTTTCGCCCTTCTTTCTGCCCAGCAGGTCACACAGACTTTCTCCTTTAACGTTCCTACCTAGCCATCCTGCTATTCTAACCCTCAACTCAAACAGGGCATCCCCTGGGAACCCACGTGAGAGAGAAACAAGTAGGCCAGCAAAGCACGTAGGGAAACTTCATATCTTTTATTTATTTATTTATTTATTAAGAATTTACACCTCCTCCCCTCCTCCCATTTCCCTCCCACTTCCCTCTCCCCCTCCTTTTCCAGTCCTAAAAGAAGTCAGGGTGCCCTGCCCTGTGGGAAGTCCAAGGTCCTCCCACCTCCATCCAGGTCTAGGAAGGTGAGCATCCAAACAGGCTAGGCTCCCACAAAGCCAGTCCATGCAGTATAATCAAAACCAGTGCCATTGTCCTTGGCTTCTCAGTCAGTCCTCATTGTCAGCCACATTCAGAGAGTCTGGTTTTATCCCATGCTTTTTCAGTCACAGTCCAGCTGGCCTTGGTGAGCTCCCATTAGATCAGCCCCACCGTCTCAGTGGGTGGATGCACCCCTCCTGGTCCTGACTTCCTTGCTCATGTTCTCCCTTCTTCTGCTCTTCATTTGGACCTTGGGAGCTCAGTCCAGTGCTCCATTGTGGGTCTCTGTCTCTATCTCCATCTATCGCCAGATGAAGGTTCTATGGTGATATGCAAGATATTCATCAGTATGGCTATGGGATACGGCCAGTTCAGGCACCCTCTCCTCTGCTGCCCAAGGAACAAGCTGGGGGACATATTGGACACCTGGGAACCGCTCTAGAGATAACCCAGACCCAGAAAGATGAATATGGTATGTACTCACTCATAAGTGGATTCTAGCCATAAATAAAAGACATTGAGCCTATAATTCATGATCCTAGAGAAGCTAAATAAGAAGGTAAACCCAAAGAAAAATATAAAGTTATCCTCCTGGATATTGGAAGTAGACAAGATTGCCAGGCAAAAGTTGGGAGCACGGGGGTGGGGGTGGGGTGGAGTAAGAGGAGTTGGAGAGAGATAAGGGAGAAGGGGAGGATTGGTGAGAGCTTGGGAGAATGGGATGGTTGAGATGGAGGAAGTGTGGATATGGGAGCAGGGAAGTAGATATCTTAATTAAGGGAGCCATTTTAGGATTGGTAAGGGAAACTTCTTATCTTTACTTTCCCTTTTCTCCTCTATATCTGATCCCTTGTCTCAATTTCAACTCTGTAGCAAATCACCTGCTGCTGACTCCCTTTTCTCTAGATACACATTCCCAGGGTACTAAACAGATACTGGTGGAACACCCTGTTTTCCTCCATCCTGCCGTCTCCCTTGGTACCCACTTCCTATGCCATCCCTATTGCTAAGTTTCATATCCTAATACCTAGGAACAGATTTTACCTTGAAACCCCAATGAATACACCTATCAGGATCCCAGAAAAATTTCATACCAGGAGCCACCTATCCATCACACCTTCCTAAGAACCAGAAAGGGCAACAGAAATAAAGGAACAAAACACCCACCAACAAAGACAAGATATTAGTACCTAAAATTATAATCTTCTAAAACCCAGGTGCCTAGAAGACAGAGTAAAGCATAATCAATAACAGCCAGTCAAAAACAAATATTTGTTTCTACTAGAACCTGGCGAACCTACTACAGTTGGCCCTAGAATTGCAAGATCACTGAAACACAAGAAAAAGACCTTAAAATAGCCTTTAATAATATGGCAGAGGTCCTTAAATAAGACATTAATAAATACCTTCTAAACAAACAAACAGTGGAAGGAAATAATTGAAACAGTCCAAGACTTGAAAGTGGAAATAGAATCAATAAAGAAAACCCAAACTGAGTAAAATCTGAAAATAAAAAATTTGGGAACTCAGAGGCAGGCATTACCAACAAAATATAAGAGATGGATAAATCTTAGGCATTGAAGACACTATAGAAGAACTGGATACATTTGTCAAAAATGGAGTGGGAGGCTGGGAGGAGGCAGAAAAAAAATAAATAAAAAAAAGAAAAAATTAAAAAAAAAATAAAATTTGCTGGCATAAAATACCCAGGAAATCTGAACTTTATGAAAAGATG